AACAAGACTAAAATAAACTAACAAAACAAGAACAAAGCTAGACGAGAAACACTGATGATAACAAAATAAAACAGGAAGCAAAGCATGCGACAATACTCAAGGATGGACAAGACATCAATAACTAAGGACAAGGAACACAAGAAACAGAGGCAAACAGAAAGACACATGAAGCAATGGCAAAATCAGAAACACAGGGAAAAATACAACTAAAACATAACCCACAACAACTCTTATAACAGTACCCACCTCTTAAAGGGATACTATGCAATTCTGCCAAGACTTTATGGCTGCAGCCTGGAGCCTCCTGTCTCATGCCCTCCTGCCTGGTGCCTTCCGCTAGTTTCTATGATGCAAAATAAAAACTCACGTCTGGTTCGTTCTGTCTTCCTCGTACTTTGGTGTTTTTGAACTGAATAGTTACTGTTTTCCACCAGGGCAGTAAAATGTGAAGTTAAGCTGCTGATGTGAGCTTCCCTGCTGTTACCGTTTTATTGGCAACAATATTCATCAGCTGTTTGACGAAGGTAAGGGCACATTTCTGTCCACGTAACAAAGCCATAACAGAGGCTGGAGAAGAACTACATGAAATTACAATCCAACTACATATTTTACACCAAAATCCAAAGCACAGCGCTGGAGAATAAACCAATCCAACTAACCTTACATGATTTTTCAACCAGGGCAGTAAAAGTTTAGCTGGCTGATGCTTCCATGCTTTAAGCTAATGTTACGTTTTATTTACTGATTGTCTGGTAACCAGCAAAGCCAACCCACAGGCTGGAGAATAAGAAGGTGACATGAAATTAATACAGCTACATATTTCACACCACTGACGGGGGAAACATGTGACAGCTCTCTGTGATTATGGCCAGTTTCAAGCTATAGTTATCAAACAACAGCTTTCATTTGTATCTAAAGTTTGACAAACAAGTTAATTACCTGTCCACAACAGACAGCTTCAGCACTGCTTTGAAAACATCTGTTCCACATTATAGCCTTCTATCTGGGAAAATCCACAACATCGGTGATTTCTTCTGTTAGCTGTTTGTATCTGTTCAGACTCCATCTGGCTTCATGGTATAAAGATCCACAGGCTGTCGGCTCTCGTGCTAAATAATACGTGTGTGCTCGTTCATTTGTCCAAATGTCACTTCAGTTCTTACTTCTAATAAACTAGAAGACTACTCAGAGACTGCTGATTGTTGTTAATATTATTATTAAGCTTGATAGCTGAACGCTATAATATTTGATTATAGCATTCAGCTATCAAGCTCCTCTCCTGTGGAACCAGGTTTCAGTTTGGGTTCAGGAGGCAGACACCATCTCCACATTTAAGAGTAGGCTTAAGACTTTCCTCTTTGATAAAGCTTATAGTTAGGGCTGGCTCAGGTGAGTCCTGAACCATCCCTTAGTTATGCTGCTATAGGCCTAGACTGCCGGGGGATTTCCCATGATGCACTGAGCTCCTCTCTCCTCTACTTTCTCTCCCTCTGTATGCAACCTCATCCCATTATTGCAAGTTACTAACACAACTTCTCCCCTTTCTGGTAGTCTTGTGCTTTCTCGTCCCTCTCCTCTCTCCTCCTATCACTTCCTGCAGGTGTTTCAGGCTCTGGAGCTGTGGAGTCTGGATCTGTGGCTGCGGGTCACCTGCTGCCCCCGTGTTCCTGCTCGACACCCTCTGCTACAACGACTATTGTTGCTAGTCTTATTGTTATTATTGTTATTATAATCATTAACATTACGACTGTTACCATTAACACTATTATAAATATCTGTACCATTTTTCATTTAGTCTATAGCAACATCACCTTTACTGTCTGTACCTCTGTGTGTATATTGTGTAGGCTGCCTCCCTCCCCTCTCTCTCTCTCTCCCTTACATCCCTCTCTTTTCCTCTCTGTTCCTCTCCTGCTCTCTCTCTCTCTCTCTCTCTCTCTCTCTCTTTCTCTGTCTCTCTCTCTCTCACCCCAACCGGTCGAGGCAGATGGCCGCCCACCCTGAGCCATGGTTCTGCTCGAGGTTTCTGCCTCTTAAAAGGAAGTTTTTCCTTGCCTCTGTCGCCTAGTGCTTGCTCTTGGTGGGAACTGTTGGGCTTCTGTAAATAACATCACAGAGTACGGTCTAGACCTGCTCTTTTATGAAAAGCGCTGTGAGATAACTGTTGTTGTGATTTGGCGCTATATAAATAAAATTGAATTGAATTCTACAGATGCATTTAATGTAGTGATGGGCGTCTACACTACACTGAATAATACAAGCAGAAGAAGAACGCCGTGGTGACGAAACGCGCTCTGTAGAGCTGTCCGTTGTCGTCTATGGTAGAAATATATATAACATAACAGATATAAATGGCTCATTCTAAGGTAATAAAAACATAATGGCTCATTATGGAAGGTCTTTATACACCACTGAAAACATAGTTATGGATATTATATTGCATTCCTGTCAATAGATCCTCAGAATTATTACACACTGAACCTTTAAGTGTCTTGCTCAGGGACACATTGGTGTCTCACAGTGGATTTGAATCCGGGTCGCTCAAACCAAATGCATGTGACTTATCCACTTAGCCATCACCACCCCCCATCAAAGTGTTCAGGCACTGAGGGGTTTTGTTCAGGTCTCCTGATGGTTTGTGTCATTGTGGCTCTCTGGCACAGTAATACACAGCAGTGTCTTCAGGCTGCACATTCTGTCCGTTTAGAGTCACTCTGTTGCTGGAAAAGTCTAAGGAGATACTGAACTTGTTCTTTAGTGAATCTATGTAGCTTGAAGTGCATCCAACACGTGAGCTTCCAATCCACCCATGGCAATCCAGTTGCCATGGGTTTCCCCACAATTAATAAAATTCAGAGACATGGGTTTCGACTGGAAGGAAGATTTATTTAAACAATTAAAAAAAACAGGCTTTGGGCAATTTTATTTGCTGCACAAGCGCAAACAATAAAAACAGATAAGATGTAGATGCCAATACTGCCAGAAATGCTAAGGAATAAAAGCACACAGTTAAAAACACCTCAGCATCTACAGGAGCCAGACCTGCAGGGGGGTTACCTGTGGGCCACCCAGGTACCTTGACACCACCACTCACACTGGTGCGCAGCCACCTAAACACAGCAAGATACACACAAATGCCACACAATAAAACTAAGTTAAGCATGCGCACACAGCTGTCATACACACCACCACATGCAGTGAAGGGGAAAGGGGTTCCCACAATCCACCACCCTGTCCGTCTGGCAGAACACTAAAAAGGGGAAGAAATGGCTAACAAGCTGAGGGAAATCACACAGCCAAAAAAAGGGAAGACAGCCACACCCTTAGTAGACCTTAGTTGGCAAACACATTCACAGGGGCCCATCCACCTGTAACAAATCTAATAAAATAAGAATTGACATAAAAATTCAAGCACGAATAGCATCAGTGGCTATACAACCCTAAAATTACAAAAACATACCTGCTAAATACCTGACAGATGATCTTTACCTCAAACAATGCAGTAAATAGTCAACCCAGCTCTGACTCCACCTCGTTTACAGATCAGACGTTTAGGCCCACTGCAAAGTAAATCATGTTATCAAAAGGCACACAAACTAGTAAACTTGCATAGCTCTACTAGACAATCTTTTTACCTCAGGGTTATCAACAACCACCACTGCCTTCTCTGTGGTGAACTTTAGCACAACAGGCCATTCAGCTGACGAGGTCTGGACGACAGGTGGCTTAAAATACCTGTGATTAAAACAAATTAAAACATGTTCACAAAAGTTAAAAACATTGTCAGCCTTGACTCATAACTTCTGCAAGACATACCTGCTCTCTAGCCACACTGGAACACAATGCCTACAGAGAGATCCTGAGTGTTCTCTATCAGAGATGCTCACAAGTCTTTGAGCTCGAGTCCAAGTCAAGTCTCAAGTCTCTCGTGGTTATTACGAATGCTGTATCACCTGCTGCGTTCAATCCAGGTTGCTAATAAAACTGCATGGCTATATGGAATTCTGTAACTGTAACCTGTAACCATTTACAGAACACAACCATGTAATGTGCAATGCAATTATTGACAGCTTCTTAAATACTGCAAGTCAACACACTCCCTAGACTCTTAAACCCAGTGTAACGTTGACTAAATAAAACTGTGACGTTGCATAAACAATAAACCTGTAACCTGTTTTTAACTTACAGAGCACAACCATGTAGCCTAATGTACAATGTGTCAACAATTAATGACTTATTATAAGCTTATAAACTACTGTAAGTCAACAAACCCTGTTGACTCTCAAACCCAGTGTAAGTTATAACTAAATAAAACTGTAAAGTTACAAGGTCAACAATAAACCTGTAACCTCTTTCTAGCCAACGGCAATAATTAAGGTGATGGCAGCCAGCAGGACGTAAATAATTACGTTTATCGACCACCACAAGTTTGGCAAGTACACAAACGCTCATTCATCTTTTCATAAAGAATGACAGTCGGAGTAAACCTCCCGTAGGTCGTAGCTGAAGCAAGAAGCAAGCTAACGTTAGATGGCCAATGCTGAGTGTACGATGAATGGCGGAGTAGCTGTCAGTGTTTGTTGTCCTCTCTCACGTGCGGCCGCGGGCAGCAGATGCTACGTGTTACGTAGGCAGGTTATAGGTAATGGAGGGAGGGAATAATGGAGAGCTCATCAGACGTTTCCTAAAAATAAACATTGTTCACAAGTCCCATCCCTCGAGTCCGAGTCGAGTCTGAAGCCTTTTTAGGACGAGTCTCAAGTCCAGTCTGAAGTCACTGTGTGTGCGACTTAAGTCGCCATCTCTGTTCTCTATAAATCCACTCTTAAAGAGGCTGAGGTGTGTGCCTGCTTCTACAGAGACAAGGGGGTGGAGCTTCACTGAGAAGCTGCAACCGACCGTGGCCTTATTAGACCAAAAGCCTGCCTATCACATAACAAATGATCAAGTTATACTGCAAAAGAAGAAGTGCTGACTTTGACAAATCCAGAGAGACTCACATCCAGCTGCCAACAGCAGCAGCAGAGCTACAGAAAACATGGTTTATGTTGAAAGTGACGTGCTGTGAACTCCACTGACAGCCCGATGGGAAGTTTTTATAGCTGAGTAACAAGGAAGGTCACTGAGTTTGCACAGAATCAAACACATGAAGCATCAATGTTGGTCTAACTGGAGCCAATAGAAGAGTCTGTTGACTGTTATTATATCTGCAGAGTGAAAACATGCCTGGAAATAGCCTCTGCTTTACATATGATGTTTTAATTTTATCATACACTCTATTATAACATTTGGAAAATGTTCCTGCATTTACAGAAATTAAACAACTATTTGCTTTTACTTGAACTATTAATGCTTTAATGTATTGTATTAATAACTATTTTATATTAAACCATTATGTACATTTTTAAGTAATTGCAACAATGATAAGATCATTTCTACTATTTTAACATAAATATTGACATGAGTCATGGATAATGGAAAACATTCATTAATATTAGCATTACAATAACATGAAAAAACTATCAACACTTAATTTTGCTGCAGGTTTGCATGAAATACATTTAACAGTTTCAGTGTTTACAGACTCTAGTAGAGCAGCTACTTCAGGCTTCCTGCTGTTTATCTTGAGATCTACTTCATGTCTGCTGAGATGAACTGACACTGACAGGTGGAGCTGCAGTTACTGATGATGGTAAACACCTTATAGTCAAACTTTCATATTCACACTGAAGTCAAGTTAACATGACTTTTGTTTAGAGTAGAAAAGTATCAACTATCACAGTATCCAGTGTACATGAGCAGCAGGAGTGTTAAGCTTTAGTTCAGTCCAGGGTTCAAGTGTCAGTCAGTTAAGATCAATGAGAACACCAGATCTGAGTGTCTCCTTTTAGAAACAGAGGAGAGAGCAACTTGACACTGACTGCCCTCTAGTGATTTTAGAAAAGAAACTGCAACATTATTTTTCACTTAAATTCTACATAAGTTACACTATTGTGTCTTAATTTGTTGAAATGTGTAGTATTTGTACTGGTTTATTTTTTGTCCTGCTCTTGTTTCATAAAGAAGTTTTATATGTTTAATGTTTAGTTGTTGTTTTTGTTTATTGTGTTTTTTATGTTTAATATTCAGTAATAATATTTATCAAGAGCAATTTTCAGGAAATTATACAATGTATTATTTAAATATGTATTTACGTAATGTAAAATATCAGTATAATAATAATGATAGTATATAAAGCAACGTATACAACAACAACAATAAAACAAAAATAGAGTGTATAAATACTATGAAAAAAATTAATTCTTGGGCTCCATCAGCACAAAAGATAAGTACTGTAGGTTTTTGTACAGCTGCTCAACCAACTTCAGTCACTGTGGCTCTCGAGCACAATAATAAACAGCAGAATCTTCAGTCTTCAAACTGTTCATCTGCAGATACACCTGCTGTCTGCTGTTGTCTCTGGAGATGGTAAACCGGCCTTGAACTGACTGCGAGTAGGATTTGCTGCTACCACTACCACTTTCAATCCAGGCAATCCACTCCAGTCCTTTTCCAGGAGCCTGTCTGACCCAATGCATATCATAGCTGCTGAATGTGAATCCAGAGCCTGTACATGTCAATCTGTGGGATTCTCCAGGCCTTTTAACCACTGGTTCAGATTCTGTCAGAGTCTGACCATCAACACCTGTCAAAACAAAAAAGATATGCATGTCATGTGTAAAATAAGTGGCACAAATGACAATATTTCAGATCAAGATCAATGAAGATCTTCACCTGCCCAGCAGACAGTTAAAAGCAGCAGTCCTGTCCTATAGTCCATCATGTTAAACTGTGTGTCCACTGTTCTCTGTCATCCTCTCTGCAGTCAGATAAGTAGAGGAGGAAGACATCTGAGTTTTGCATTGACTCCTCCTCACAGAGCAAAGAGAACTAGATTGCACTTGGCTTTTAGTTCATTGTTTGGAGAAACTAGAGAATCAGTGTTCATGAGTCATTCCTCAAAGTCAGTTTGTTTGCATGCTTTCATTTACATAAAATGTCTGAATTACAAATTGTGTTGTATGTAAAATGCAACGACGTTAAAGACATTCAAGTAAATTATATTCAAAATATCAGAGTACCATATGTCCCCACATTTATTTTAATAAACCTTCAAAATGTTAATCTTAGTTCAGATGTGACACATTTACAAACAAGGTTTTATCAAACAAGTTTGAATATAGCTAACGTTGGCATTATGGTTTCTCATAACTACCAGCAAAGTCTGAACCTGTGTCCATCCTCTTAAAACATGGCCTCGTTTGTAATCAGTGAGTAATGTAGCTCTTGTTCTAACCAGATGTGATATGATATGATTTTTACAACCTGTTTAAATTGATAGATTGAATGTTCTGTTGTGTTTAATTTGTAGTCTAGTTGGAGGTGTTTGTCTTTGTTACACAGTGTTCAAATTACACCGTGGCTGTCTTGGGAGCCCTATTTTTGGGGGTGGGGGCACCTGGCTACTATCAAATAGGCTGAGTGCAATGGCGGCTAAACAGAGGTGTGGACCCGAAATGGCTGGATATGTTTGCAGGTTTGTCACAGTCACTTACAGGATGTCCAAATGAAAGGCAAGGCAATCCAAACACAAAGGAACAATCCAGAAATCCAGATAGCCGAAAGTATCAAGTGTTACTTTCGTCCCACTACAGTGACCACAAGTGTTTTTTTTTCCCCACTGCTAATGTGGTGACTTTCTCTGTGTTTCAGCATGTATTGAAACATGTTTATGTTATATTATACCAACAGATTATGCCAAAAGTGAGGGTCAGAAAGACAGACAGAGGTCTGATTCAGCCAGATGTTTTCATGCACATTTTGGAATTAGGTATAGGTATATAGGTATTAGGCTGGATAGAAACACGACTATATTTGCATTATTATGAGAATTTATATTATGTTATGAAGATTAATTTTAATATTGTTCATATTGTTGAAGAAATGTTTTTTAAAATGGATTGACATTGCCAATAAAAAATATTTTGAGCAAATATACGGTTGGGTTACTTGGAACATTTGACAAACTGTAAATAGATAATAAATAAAATTAAAATGTAATTCATAAATTTTTTGCAAAGATAAAGGACAAAATACATTTGCAGTTACATATTAACAAGTAGTCATAGTCACGTTTATATAATAATATAATAATAATATAATAACAAGGAAAACACAAAACATGTAGTTGTTACTTTCAACTCTCCTGCTTATTACTTTTGACCCAACTGATGGGGTCGAAAGTAACAATGTGTCACTTACGTTTAAAGTGAAATTATACGGAAGTCGTTCCACATTTGTACAAAATACCACCTGATATTGATAGATCACACCTGTGAGTTAGTGACCACAATATTTCATTGTCTGCAACATAATCTTTTAAAATCAGGTTTTTCTGAAAAATGGTAATTTAGCCTCTGCTCTACCCTACTATACATTTAAATTCATACAGAGAATATTGAGCCCGGACAAAATTATTCACTGTTGCAATTGTTTTTAATTGCCCTTTGCTGAGAAACAATAAAAATGCCAGTGCACACTGGACAGGCAAAAAATGTGCCCCTACAGGACAAGTGGACATCATTGTGTTTATTAAGCACAAATTATTAGAAATTGTTATTTGCAAAGAAACACATGGTAATGGTGCTGTACTATCACCCTTTTATTTCAAGAACCTAAATATAACCTCAAATATAGGAAAATATAAATTTATACAGAAAATATTACTAAAATAGCACCAAATATTATGATATTTTAGAGTTCCCCTAAATTTCTTCAATGAGTCCCCCATTTCAAACCCTTTTGTCACGCCTTTAGTTTCAAAATTATTCGGATCAGTCATTATATACAGTATGTTCCCCTTTTATGATTAGTTTTGTCTTTGTGAGGTCAGTTTAGTCTGCTCTATACTATTCAGGTCTGCTGTTGTCTCTGGAAATGGAAAACCGGCCTTGAACTGACTGAGAGTGCGTTTTGCTGCAACCACTCCCATCATCAACCAAGGCAACCCACTCCAGTTTTTTTCCAGGATCCTGACTGATCCACTGCATAGAGTTGCTGCTGAATGTGAATCCAGAGGCTGTACAGGTCAATCTGTGGGATTCTACAGGCCTTTTAAACACTGGTTCAGATTATTTTAGAGTATGAACATCAACACCTGTCAAGACATTTAAAAAAATGCATGAAGTGAAATAAGCTGGTGACACAAATAAAGGTTAGTTTTAGGTCAGTAAAGAGCTTCACCTGCCCAGCAGACAGTTAAAAGCAGCAGCCCTGTCCTATAGTGTCCTCTCGTCCATCATGTTAAACTGTGTATCAACTGTTGTCTTGTTGTCATCTTCTCTGCAGTAAAGGTGGAAAACATCAGAATTTTGCACTGACTTCGTCTCACAGGAAGATCAGATATGGATCTTTTACTAAAATGTATGAATAGACATGAGTGTTAATATGATCATAAAAATCACAATCAAGCAACTAAAGATGTACATTTAAAATATGTATATCAAGTTTTACATGGATCAATTACATCATTAGACCAGGAAAAATAGGAACTGGAGTTTGATTTGGACAAACAAACCATCATCAGTAGTTTTTAATGTCAGAAAAGACTAATCAAATCACCTCTGTTCTCTATTGTATCAAGACCGTTACATATTTTATATGTAAGGGGATGATCCCCCGAGGTCAGGTACATGCAAAACCTCTTTCAGACACTGGCTTGCCCAGCCATGCCCAATAGTTTACCTATAAAGCACCTTTGCCGGCATGATCTCCACCTGAGCTGGGGTACTTGTGCAGACATTCTGTATTGCAAAATGAAAAGTGTGGTTCACAGCAGAATCCATGCAAACAGAGAAATGAAATCTTACTTGTTGTAGTGTTTCGTAGCCTCGTTGGATTGCTGTTTCCATTGTTTGAAAAACAGTTCTCTGTCTACTTTGTCTTGAGCCCGGTGACGATGTGTCCACCGGGAAAGCAGCCTCCCAGTTGTGGAGCTGGGTGTCTGCTCTTTCCGGCGTATTGCTTGCGGTCTTGTAAGGTGACGTGCCTGCCAGGGTTCTTGCTGGCATACAGACGTCAAGTAGACTAACAGAC